TCTAGGAAAATCTTGGTATCCTGAAAAAAAATTTACGAATAAATTCTTTACCATTGTTTATTATGGACAAATTCGCAAAAAAATCGCAGCAAAAATCGCCTCAAAAATCGCTAGTGTAAACGGGACTTAAGATACGCAATTAGTATAACCGATCATTTTACGCCGGAGTCCCCTCCCCCCGGGGCTTGTTAATGATAAGGTGTAAGGACGCTTATGGGATAGTGGCTTTAAGATCCATTGATGGTCATCTTCGTTTATTATTAGATTGTTACCGAATAAGTAGCGTGATAGCAGTAAAAATATATTAAAAAATTATAGGGGTCCTGAAGGGGTGTCCTAATCCCATTTCGCAGCCCCCATTTTGACCAAATCCCATAGTCCCAGCTAACTTTTTTCTCAAATCTCAAATCCCATTCCCATTTCTTGCTATTTTTTTGTTTGTTGTGATCCTACTCTCAGTGCATAAAGATCCCATTTCCCCAGCCCAAAACAGGCAAATCCCAGCTCCCATTTTACCCCTTCACAACCCATAGGATTCCGCTCCACCCGATTTCGTTAAAATCTTTTAAATTGCATCCTTAACTTCTTATGATTCCCTTAAACCGTAACAAATTCTGATGGCGCCGTGCAATCGCTTCGATGAAGCACCAAAATTTTTTTTAGTCATGTTTCGATAGAAGCAGCTTATAGCCTACTGCTTAAGCAGAGCTACATATTGAGACGAGAAAAGACAACCCTTTTATCTATTCGCCATCTTGTGCTCGAGTTAAATCAAAGCAAGACGACCCCAAATCTTCGTTAACTGCAAAAAATAATTGACCTTACTAACCACAAATATGCGGCGGCATTTGCTGTTGTCAGCTGTGGTCTTTATTCTCTTACACCATCAGTTTTGTAAGTACTTATAAATCATATGAATAGAAAATGGTAGCGCGTATAGAGTCTTGAGATTATCTTTGAGTAAAGTTTGTTAGGTCACTCCATTTGTTTTCCTCCAGTTTTTTAATATTTTCTTTCCTTCGCAAAACTTAACCGACAAGCTAAATTCTAATTCGATATGTTAGCCTGACTTAGATCAGCCCAGAGTTTGTTTCAGGTTTTGAAAATTTGAAGCGTTTCACTTGGTAGGATTCGTGAGGCGTGCGCTTTGAACCAATCACAAGCGAGAAATCACTACTAGCCCATTATCCAATCACAATGCACAAACACGAAAGCCATTAGAGTGTAATTTAAATTCATTCCCTTCCAACAAACAGAAAGAAAATAAGGTGCTGACACACTGTGCAACATTGCATGTAACATTGCACGCAACAGCACTGTTGCAGCGTGTGTCTACCCCAAGCTTGTTGCACGCAACGTTGCATGTAACAAATCTGAAGTTGAATCGCGCTCTATTCTTGCAACATTGCGCGCAACAAATTTTATCATGTGAACATGGCTGCAACATTACCTGCAACATCTTGAAATTTCCAGCCAATCAGCTTGCAACAAATTTATGACTACTGACCAAATATCCATTAACATAGCAGGCTGACACAAGCGATGTTGCGTGATTTTGTTGCAATGTGATTCAAATTTTTTGCTTGCAATGTTGCACCGTTTGTCAGCACCTTCTCAACTTATGAACGACTTCAATATTTCCTTCTCAGGCTCCTCTCTGACTTGTCATTCGTGCTACTCCACGAAGTCCTGGGCCGAGTGTCTAAACCAAGCTGTTCCTAGTACCTGTCCCTCTCTCCCTGGGGCGTGCTGTGTTGAGTTCCATCGATCCATTCACTTCAAAAACAAACGTGTCGAAAACCAGTTTGCAAAATCCTGCTTTCATCAGTCTGTGTGTAACCATGGTGACTGTGTTCGTTCGTTTATACCCTCAGTTAGCGTGACATGCACCTTCGGTTGCTGTAACGCAACACTCTGCAATGACAAGTACGGCATAGCACGCGTGACTCGGAATTCTGGAGTTTCTTTTCGGAATTTGCTAAGGAGGTCACAAAGGCACAACACATAACATTCCGGTGGTAGTAATTCATAACACGGGTTCCCTGTGTTAAGTTGCCACAGGTATCCCAACCTCGCACTTTGCTTATCCATGTATCTAAATGTAAAGCGTTGATTTGATAATAAAGAAAACTTCATAGTGATCACTTCAGTGGTACATTGTACGACAGATGGGGGATGGGTAGGGAGAGGAAATTGCCATGAACCATTCTGGGACGAAAATTAAAGGAAAAATAAAATGAATGTTACAAGAATATCAGCATTAAACTGAAAGAAAAGAACAAAAAATAAAAATAACTATGAATAGAAAATGAAACGGGCTTTTCCGTTGAAACTCCTTTTGTGAGCTGTATTTCCGACTCAAACAATAACAAAACAACATAAAAATGATAGAAATAGTACTAGAAGAAACCAGTCAAATTTCTACCCACTCCACCCCTCTGGGAAAGTGTTTTAGAAATAAAACTTAATAGAGCAATAATTCCTGTTGTTCTCAGATTCAGATAAATACAAAGTATATACCCCCTCCCCTCCCCACTACCCCAGGGAATTACTAAAAGTATGAAAAAAATCATCCTCCCCCCTAGGGAATTATTGATTAGAACAAACCCCCCCCCCTCCCCCTTATAGCAGCCTGAGACCCACTCTTTTGCATTAGTAATAACGAAGAGAATAAAAATGATCAAAGAATTAAGAATAAGAATTTTTACAAGCAAGAAAAGTACTGGGAATATTTCACACATGCACCCCCCTTACGAGTCAATTCTTTTTCCCGTCCTACCTAGGGTAAAGGTTTTTCTAGGCAGTCTAGGTTTWAAAAAAATATTTTTCCAGTGATTAAAAACGTGCTTTTTGGCCACACACGTACACTGTTTTGACTATAAAGCTCACACCTCAGCTCAAGTGTCTCTCAAGCCTCGAAATAAGAAAAATAATAAAGACTGACAAGGGGGACTTGTAATTTGGGAACCTGCCAAGCTTATGTCTCAGAACTCAAGTTGAACCGTGCACGGTTTGAAGATTATGTTTTGAGAGATCAAAAATGACCGCCCGCCTTCGTCGTCTGCCTGGCAACAATGAATGATTATTTTAAGGTTTGTGKTTACCAATGCCATGATTTGACTCTGCATGCTGCACTTGGGTGTTGTATTGTTGATAGTAATGATATTTTGATCAGTTTTGCGTGCTACTGAGGGGAAGTTGTTTTCTTCCTTTGAACTTTAATGCTTTTTCGTCACTTTAAAAAAAATTGACCTGGTTTTTTTTTACTTAGCTTTTACGTGCTATTTTTGTTTTGTTTTTTCTAATACCACTGAAACATGTCGGAAAAAACAGAGTTAAACCATGAAATAAAAACAGGGGGGGATAAAAAATTAAGAACTAGGTTGTAAGAATAAAAAGCAACAAAAAAACAAAGAAAAATGATATGAGCAGGTTCGGTACTTTAGTTAAAACCAAAAAATACTTCGTGTGGAAACAGGCTTTTAAACCTTCCTCATTGGTTTCAAGTGATTGTTTTGTCTTAAATGGAACAGTACCTTTACTACTCTGTACTGCTGGAGGCGTCGTATCTTATTCAACGCGCAGACAGCTTTATGATCAAAAACCTTTTAAAACGTATGTAAACCCGGACGCCATTGAAATAAAACGAGTTCTGTCTAAAAATAAAAACAAATTGCTTGTTGTGTCGTTCATGTTTCCTAAAATACCAGTCAAATTAAGGAATTACCAGGCTAGGACGTCACTCGATAGCAGACCGGAAGAGCAAAGTTGTTCTCTGGAAAACCAGGATCAAAATATGCCAGCTTGTCAGCATAGTGCAGATATAGAATTAGAAAATTTAACTGTATAATCGATCGATGACATCAATGAAAACAAATGGTTGCAGGAAAAAATAGGTTAAGAAGCAATATAATAATATGTAAACAAAATAAAGATGTGTGATAATTATAAACAAAAGTGGGCAAGTTCAAGCATAGAATAACATAATTTATTAACTGGACTGAGAAGATGGAGAGAAGAGCAACGAGAACAATTTAATTTAAAAACAAGATGAATCGGACAAGATGAAGAAGAAGAAGAAGATGAAGAAGAAGAAGAAGAAGAAGAAGAAGAAGA